CTGAAAGACCACTATTACTGCTGACAGTTTGACTTATGTGAAAGTGCTCCAGAGATGAATAGAACAGATACATGTAATGAGAGCCATCTGGGCAACTAGCACTCTAATGAATTAATCCCACAGACCTTATCTGGCCATGTGCTTCCAGAACACACACAGTTTATTATGTACTTACAGGATACCAATACTATGGGGTGCTCTCGTCTGGTGTCATGCAAACAGCAGCATTTCATTTTCTCTGGTCCCTCTGTTGTGATGGATAAAAGAAAAGTCCTGATCCTGAAAGTTAAACATTTAATAAGATATTAATCGGACATCAAAACAAGGACTGTCTGTAAAACATAGTGCTGTATAAATCAATGCTAATGAAAGTGATGTGGTGAAATGCTTGCATTTCTTGTTCTTTGCCCTCTTCCCCTTCATTCACTTCACTCTTTTTTTGTTTTTGCTGTTGTGGCAAATGAAAATCAGAAAAGTTATATAACTTGGACATTTAGGACTAATAAGTGATTGCTCAATGTTATGGCAAAAACTAGAAATCGGCTACAAATCAAAGTGGCATATGAGTTTCGAAGGACTTAAAGTTTTGGTCTCATTCTCTGCTTGTGTTTTCTTCTGCATTAATATGCATAGACCAATAATAGATACACTCAAAGAAAATCTGGGTCAGGGATTTAAAGCTCCTGGGGTTATGAATGAAAATCTCAGAGAAACCAAAGCACTCCCAACGTTCACAACCCTCTCAACCTTGAGCATAAATCACTTCAAGATGTCTACCGAGCCAACCAATCAGAGCCAATTAGGGTTAGTCACAGGCCTGTAGAGTTAACCCTTTAAAAAAACAAAACAAAAAAAAACAAGGGAAAGGACATGGGGATAAAAAGGAGACTCAGACAGAGGATCAGAGAAAGTTTAGTCTCCTCTGGGATTTTCCAAAAGCACTGAAATTGTGTTATGTTGACTAACTGTCCTTGCATGTGTGCCTGATCATATGTGTCCCAGACTGAGTACGCATGATCGTTTGCTTGTGAAACTAGTATGTGCGTGCTTTGTGTGTTGGGGCTGGGTCAGCCGGGACCATGGGATTGATTTTATGAACAATAGGAGGGGAGTACTAAAGAAGAACATCTGTATGGCATCAAGGCAACGGAGAGAATGAAGGAGAGTTTAAAGGTGGGAGGAGAAGGAAAGGGAGGATTTTCTGGCATTGGACTCACATTGGTGTTTTGGAAAGTACAACAGCGCAGACCTCTCAATCAATAACGCAAGCAGGTCATGCATATCAGAACTAAACAAATAGGAGAGGGAACCTTTTTCCAACTTTGTGCTAGATTATCTAGACTGTGTGTCAGATATTCAGTTTATTCTTCAAGCAGGACATATTCAACAGTATTTTGTGTGAAAATTGTGTTTACACAGAGACATTCTTTGGCTTTCCTAGAGCATGATGTAATAACAAAAGAGGTTGAGACCTTTGTTATGTTAACTGTTTGCTTCTGTCTCCTCTGGCAGTCTGTTTTCCTCAATAGGATTTGTCAGTGGTGTTGAGATGTTATGGTGACATCATTTCATGAAAGCTGTCTTTGTGGCTTCTTTATTATTTATTTATTTGGGTTTAGTGGGTGAAGTGGGATCAAGTTTTCTACATAACTGCCTGGGCTGAAATGCTCTAACTGATCCCAGCGCCATTAGATTTCATAAAGGATATCTTTATTGTTACACATTATACATTCGACCTACCCCGGACCTGAGTAGACCTCTAGAGTATTCTGCAGAGGTCTGGCTGTAGGGTTACATGGTGTTGTTGCCTCCATTTTGTCTTCCTGTGTTGCTCTTTCCACCCAGCTCCCTTGGTGAGAAACTGGACCCTGGTGCTAGTGCGGAAACATTTGCTCAGGCCTGTCCCGTTTCACACGGTCTTAATATAACAGACGTGGTAGGAAGGCTATCAAGATACCACCAGCAACAGGGTTAAGGGGGAATATAAATGCATTTCCATGTTTGTCTTTCATTGGTTTTAGGGTCATTGCTGGGTCTGTCTACACACTCCTGGACACACAGGGCAGGGTGGATGCCAGGCTGTTAGGACACATCATGCACAAGGAGAATGGCAGGAAACAGAAGAGGAATTCAGATGCGGAAGTGGCGATAGATGGGTAGGTCAACAGGATGACGAGGAAGGAGTGTAGTCCATAAGACTGAATGGAGAAGAATCGGCAGTGTCATCAGACAGAGAGGGAGGATTTTTCACTGTTTCATTCACTCCATTGGTCAAATCATTACTGATGTCTGCGTCTGGGAAGTCTCTCCAAACAGTCAGTCTGCATTCACCCCCCTAATCCACACTTCAACAGCTAATGAAAAAGTAAAGCTGGAAAGCCTCTTAACTTCCAGGTTTGTTAATAGTTTGATCTTAATAATTGATTCAGTTATTTCGGCAATACTGACCCAGATGACCTTACATTGAGTTCTTTTACAGGCTTAATGTCACTGCATTCTCATCAAATCAATCACAATTGCTAGATAAGAAAACATGGAGAATAAACAGCATTAACAAAACAAAGAACATGTTTGGCCGTTCAAGCAGAATGACTAGGGGCCTCATTTATCAAACAAACCTATGATCAATTTTAATCTTCAAGATACAGTGTGTAACATTTAGGAGGATCTATTTCTATATTCACAGGTGTGTTTTCATTAGTGTATATATGTATATATGATGTGGAAATGATCTCTAAGCATCCTCATGACTCGATGTAAGTGATTTTCCTGTTGGTTATGTAGGGATATTCAACGAATCAACGATTCCTATATTCAGGTGATTATACACTAATGAAAACATACCATCAATATTCTTTTCCATTTCTGCCAATAGATCCTCCAGTGACACACTGGACCTTTAATTTCTGGTGCGTAAATTACAAATGGGCTTCTTAAAACTGGCGTAAGCAAGGTTTTTTATCCTCAATACCTTTTATAAGTTGAACTAAAGCATACACTCAAAAATCATCTTAAGACAGTCTAGGAGACAGATGAGGAAAATAAGGCCACCACAAGGGACTTTTATTGGGAACAGCAACAACTTAGCCACCGGATCTCTTGCAGTGATCTTAAATTCAAGCATTGTAGCAAAAATTTAGCTTTTAATCTAACCGATATTACCCCCATAATCATGCCTGTTTGCGTTTACAGTCATGTGTCAGTCATGCTCCTATGATGGCTCCATCCAGCTGGCTCTAAGACTCACAAAACACCAAAACCTCCTATAAAAAACCCCAACAGGTCCCAGAGGGTAAGATTCTCTGCTACCATGTGCTGGTACTCGTGATGTCCTGGCAGTGCCCCCCTCACTGCACAGAGATTCTTTGTGCATTTCAACCATAATAAGTCAAATGTTAGTTTGGAGTGGGGGGGGGGGTTAATTCTAATCAGGATTCTCCAGCTGTAAACTGACACATGCTTCACATTCAGATAAGTGTAACCTCACTGTTCAAACAAATATCATGCCAGAGGAGAAGTTGGAAGATGGATGTGAAAACATGGTGAATATATCCATATATTTAAATGACATTTATTGAGGTTTGTACTCCATCATTTTGCATTATTTTATTTTTATTTGGGCAGCTTAAGTGTTACCCCTTCATAATGATTTTCTAATAGTGTGATAATGAGAGGAAATTACCAGAGTTTGGCAGTATAATTTGATTCCTTTTGGACCTATTTTGAATATTATTACATCAACTTTATGTTTTTCCAATGTCTTTTAATATAAAAAGACCAGAATACATATATTTCTATGTGTGTAACTATAGTGTGAAGTGGTTTTTAAATCGTAGCTTCAGGTTTAATAATTGTGAATGTAATTTCAAGGGCCCCTTAACAAACTTCAGAAAGAATCGGGTCTGAAACATAGGGGGTGACCAACAGGGGTGCCTGTTCTCAGACACCAGCCTGATCTTGGCAAGATTCAGCCTCATATGGTTGCATTGTTTGACAAGCAAGTCTCCAGGCAGTGCTGAAAAACCCAGCGGTGGGACTGCAGTGCTTCCAGATGTGGTCTGCCTGGATCACTGGAACAGCACATCTCTTAGTGAAGATTAACAGTGAACACCCAGCATCACACTCCTACAACACACTACACATCAGTGCAAAAGTTTTGCTCACTTTCTGCTGATGTAGTGTGATTATGAAATAGAATGTGTGTTTCGCCTATGATGTCAGTGCTCTTGTGTTATAGCATATTGGAAAAAAAGATGTGTACATGTAGTACATGTAAGCTTGCATGTGTGCTTTTGCGGTTCAATGGATGACTCACTATAAGCTGTTAGTCATCTGTCCAGGGATACACAAAAACCAAGGCCAAGAGTTGTGGGTGACGCCATGTGCTTTTACAGGCCTCTCAGCTATGTACACGACATGTAGGAGACAGGAAGAGTGCTTCCTGTTTATACCAGGTGCATCTTCAAAAATTAGGATTGACTCAGCTCTTTAACACCTCTATACAAGTCAAACAGTCAAAGTGAAGACTGTTGTGTTGTAGAGAAATCTGCATTTTTATTTCAAATTTGCATTCACATAGGAGCACTAAATCTAATATAGTGTTGAGCCAGTGTACTTTCTTTTCCACTGGAAACAGCTTGTATTAGCAACCTGTCTACTAGAGCATCCCCTGCCACTTTCCTGGAGTGCAACCACAACCGCTACATTGCAGAAACCGTTACACCTCTAGCACACAAACTGTGCAAACGACTTCCCAACATTTTCACAAGGAAACAAAACTGAAATAAAGACAAAGTGCAACAGGATATCAGGTTTCACCAACATGACAGCAAGTCACCATCTCATTCTGGTGCTTGCTGTAGATCTGCACGCACACAGGGACAAGGGAGGAGGCAGTGATGGCTGCATTTGGGGGTTAACAGCAGGCAGTTAGAAAAGGGGTGTGGAAAGAGCAGGGAGAGAGAGAGGCCAAAGGAGTGGGGCCATATAAAGAGTAACAGAACACAAGCCAGGCTTTATCCTGCTTGTCTGTCCCACTCACTTAGACCTCACAGGAAACCTACTCCCCTGGCCATCACACATTATCACTTACCACACTTTTTACTCTCGCACACAGTCCCACCGGCTTGCTGACCAGAGAGGATGGCTGCACCCATGTGGAGAATGAATGGGCTCTGGAAAAGGATGGCTGGAGTTCTGGTGCTCTGCGCTCTATTGCTCAGCAGTGAGTACATATATATGTATATTATTATATATTACTTATAATTAATTATTGAGTTAGTTCTGCAACTTTGATTCACTCTCACCTTAGAAAGTTATCTATCCTCTCAGAGTCTAACTTTTTTGCTGTTCCTTTGTTTTTCTCTAATAGTGTTCAAAATTCATACATCAGAATGTTTACATCAACAGTGGCTTTTATACAAACTAGTTGGGGGGTTTGCTTTGATGTGCTCTACCATGCCTCTCTGCTAACCATGCAGAGAGGCATGGTTAGCAGTGGGGTGGCTGCAGACACAAAGGGTCTGCTCAGGAGTGGAAAGTTGCAGTTGAGAATAATTATGCTTTACGTCTTGCAGTGCATTTCGGTGGAGCTAATGTGTGTAAAACAATTAAAACCCCATACAAAACCCAGCCTCAAGATGGGTAAATGTATATTTATATTAAAAATAGGATGAGTTTGTTACTTTCTGTTGCATAGTGCATATTATGCTGACTCTGACTGCAGTGAGTTATAAAGATATTTCATGTACATATGAGTGTGTGTGAGCTGTAAACGTGCTACATATAACGATGAACATAACACAAGGATTCAACAGAAAGCCGTAATAGATTCAGTAAAAGAGTAAGTGTGTGTGTGTGGGTGTGTGTTTGTGGGGGTTGGACTCACTGGGCAGTCCACTCCAAACCAGTCTGAGGCCTTTTGCTAATTGCAGGGCGATGTATGGCTTGGATGGTGTTGCTGCCTCGCTGGTTGTAAAGCAGGACTGTGTCTAGTTCAGTCCAATGTAACGACTTCTCCAGAACCATTAGGACCCATCTATGGTCACAGGGGTGGTAAATGTTCGGAGTGACCTTGGGAAGTTCTAGGAGGAGTATCCCTAGACTGATTAAAATAGCTAAGGTTTTACTTTAAAAGGGAAAAGATCATGAGATGGCGGAACATGTTGGTAGTTTGCACAATAAAAAGGCAAACCACATACCGTCTGCATCAGCAGCAGCTTAACAGAGGGTAATTAGATTTACATGGAAATCTAATTACTCTGGCACTCCCCACCAAGAAATTAAAGCCATGATACAGGAACAACATTTTAAGACACAACTAATAATCAACCATGTATTCTTTGTTTATTACTGTTGTTGATTGAAAAACAACTATTCTGTTATCTTATTATCTCTGTAATTAGGATTTTGTTTGTAGCCCTTCCTTATTATGATTACAGCCATGCCCATCTTTCCTTTTGCCATATTTGCATACTGCCTATACCAGCCACTGTTTAATAATCTTTACCTGTTTAAAATAGATCTTATATTGGCACAGACCTGTTGCCTCTGTTTTAGGTTTTAGCAGACACCAGCTGATTTCTACTTTAAGACTGTCACAAGGGTGTTGCCTCAAGTCTGCTGACCCGTCCTCAATTCTTTACCACATCCAACAGCGCTCCTCCGATCACACAGACTTGCTACATTGTTGACACTTGTGTCCAACTGGCATTGTGGTGCAAATTTGCAGAGGCATGGTCACATATGGGTCCATGAATCCAAAAATGGAAAATGTCTCACTTAAATGTATGGAATGTTTTATTGCATTCACATCCTGACAGTTCTAGTGTTCTGTGTTGATCATCTGCATGCTTGTTGGGCTATTTCTGTTTTTGTTTTGATACAGTTTGTACCACCAGCCAAGTCACAAGAGACAATTTGTCTCCTCATTGACTCTTTTTACAATATAGGACTATGTGGCTGCTGTGGGTTAGGGGTCAGAGGTCAGGTCCCAGTGACGTCAATTTTCACTCAAAGATACAAACAATTTTAATGTTTCACGCTGCTTTATGGCTGTTTCGATCTACATAAAGAAGACTTTTATGTCACTCATGCAGAAGCGCTCCACTGCACTACTGCTGTCTTATTGTGTCTTGTTCTCAGTGTGGAATCATTGTGAATCAGGAGGTTTAATCAATGCTGCATCAGATTTAGTGGCAGTGATGTCATCAGCCTCACAAGGGGCAAAGGGGCGAAGCAGCTGATCCTAGTTCTGTCTTAAAAACATGCTTTGTAGTATTTGTACAAAACAGTAAAAGAGCTCCATCCTTAAATCTTCTCATAAAGGCCTTGGGCTTACCACTCATCCGGCAACATACATGGAAGTAGATACAATGCAATGCTACTTATGGAGGGAAACATGTACAATTTCAAACACTGGGCTAAGTCAAAGACAATGTGGCATCCAAATATTAGCCCAACAGAATATACAGTATGTTGTAATTTCAGACTGCAGCTGCAAGTCGCTGAAAAGAGCAATGAATTTCAACTGTGCATGTCTAAAACTCAGTTAAAAACATTTGCAGCTGACCAACATCTCAGTTTAGATGTGTTTGTTAGAAAGACTGATTCAGGCAAACAAGAGCAGAAGGATGAGTGGATGGAGGGTAGGATCCAAGAGAGACAGGATGAGAGCCTTTGATGCAGTTGATTAGTGAATGCCTTTAACTGTGGTTATCAGAGCAAATCTTTGTCATATGTAAACAGTTCAATCACCCCGACTGCTCGGCAAACACGTTTAGTTTATGCTCCTACTTCCCATGGCTGTCATTCAGTAGTTATGCAGGCGTGCAAATATGTAGCGCTGAAATGGGCATGGACTGTAATGTTGGATGATGTCATTCAACGCCTCTTGGAGTATGTTATAAGCTGTCTCTCTCAAGATTTTGGGGGAAAACCCGAGCTTTAAATCTGCTCTGGAGAAAGGGAAAAACATCTTGTCTTGCTTATTTCAGCTTGTCATCTACAATGACTGTTTCTGTTGCTAAGTCAGGGCCTAAGGCAGAGCTGAATGAGCTGTGACAATTGCTGTTAGAATATACCACATTAACCAAGATATTCACTCGTGGTTGCGAGATTCCAAATTTTGCAATTGCAATTGTGTGCATGTGTGTGTGCACGAAGGCAAAGCCATTAATGCTCAGTAGATATTCTTTGTACAACCCAGACGTGGCCTGATACAAGTCATTCGAGATGGCATAAACTGAACTAAATGAATACAAAGGAAGAGGAGACACAATAAATCACAGACTGCTAAAGTCTCTTAGAAAAAATGTCAAGATTAAAACCTTGAAAAAGATTGCACAGGCTTCACAGAGAGTGGAAATCAGCATCCATATCGCCCTGCGCACAAATGTACTAAACTTTGTTTCTCAAACAGCAGCTTCACCCTGCCAACGTAAACACGGGCAGAATATTGCCACTCTCTTTCTCATGGCCCTCGGCTATTGACCAGCATTCTTTCAGTCCCAAGTTGCGATGGTGAAGTTTTGATTCACGTCATCTGCTGGAGGGCGTGGGTCTTTTATATAAGCCTTGGCAGATAGTGGCCTTATGTCAGTCTAGGGTGTGTGTGTCCACTTGGGCCCAAAGTTATGGCTGAGGAGCCACGTGAGCTCACAGAGTAATTAAACCTGGAGCCTGTGTTCTGTCAAACTGCCAATTTGCCTCACTGATTTGTACATGTGAGAGAGCCAGGTCAGGCTACAGTTGAAGTCAGTAAAATATTCTAACAAACACTGCTTGTCACAAGTGTCCGTTCTGTTACCTCGTCTGCTAGCCCTCAATCACAATAACAAGGGGTGGACATTTTAAAATGTCTTTTTTCTCTCTGAATTATCTTCATTTGAAGGCAACTCTCTTCCAAAGAAAACATATTAATGATAGGAAAACAAAGCCACTGTCGCCACTAACTAAATGATCATCCCTGAAAAGCAGCTGACTTGGAGAAATAGATCGTCTAGCAACAATATTTACCTAGTGAAACAGTCTTAATGAAAAGCAGACGCTGTGTTAGCATTCAAATCTTCCTTTTCCAATTACTGCTGTTCTGGTGAGCTTATTGTTCCTTGTTCCCCTGGCACCCTGCTGCAATTTTACAGCTGTTGGGTTTTACCAGCATAAAGAAGGGAAAAAAAGGCCTCTCCTCCAGTTTCTCCTTCATTTTCAGCCCAGAAAATTTGGCGGGACAAGCACTGAGGCAGAGAAACTCCAGATATATCGCCGCTCAGATCGAACGCCCCCCCCATGTTCAGCTAATGAGCAGCCCCAAGATTATAGTGTGAATTCTAAAACAAGAACTTGGAAGCACTCTGTGCTTCTTGTGTCTTCCCTGCCTTTTCACGCCGGCTCAAAACTAAAACTTCAACAGCTCAGTGATCCTCCTCACACTGATTGATCCAAAGCTACGGTGATGTCATACCAAACACCATGCACAAAGCAATGGGCGCTTGTAGCACACAGGGTATGTTGCATAACAAGGCAGGGCAGTGTCTTTATAGAGGGGTATACAGTTTACCCTGGGGAATAAAAGCGCTTAATGAGCCTCGGCTGAGGCCCTTTGACTGCCAGAATAATTGCTTCTGGTAATTGAAAACACAAGACTGTGCCATTTTGCTCTTCTTGAAGGTCCTAGGTTTAGATACCCTTTTCATTCGTACTGTATATATAAACCATTTCTGTGCAGGTTATTTCTTTCTTAAGACCAAAGGGCAGAGTTTAACCATATCTGGAAGGCTAGCAGATTATTGCTGTTATTTCTCAATCTTTCATCACGGCTTTGGCTCCTTAGCCTCGATCATATCAGAGCCAGATTGTTTAAGGCTATAGGTTTTGATATCTTTTTACAACCTCTCCCCACACAGTCTCATGTAAAAACAGCAGTTGGAATGAGTCCATGAACATCTGCTGCTGCAGCCCAGTGCTGGTTCTGACACAGAGGAGAGCAGCGTGATGCTACGGCCTCTTGAAGCAGCTGGTGTTTCCAGTTTCTAATCCACAACAAAATGGATGGACTGTTTTGGAAACACAGGTTTAAAGTTTCACTACCCTGCTGAAACTTTTTTAATGACTAAATTGGAGTTGGTCAGTAGCTGCTATAAATCATAGTGCTACCTTTTCATGCTTTGCTTTTGTGCTTCGCAAGATTTTTCTCAGCCTTTGGAGGAAAGATAAAGGTTTAAATTG